GGCGAGACCCTCTGAGGCCATAGCCTGAGTCCAGATTCCTGTTACGGCACGAGATCACTGGAGACCATAGCCTGAGTCTCGAGACTTTGGAGGACACGAGATCCTTCACGGAGGTTGCGATAACTTGAATCCGAAGACTTGATGGGTAGCACGGGAACTCCTGTGAAGGTTGCGATAACCTAAATCCAGAGACCTGATGGGTTAGTGTGAGAACTCTATCCCGGAGGCCTATGGTCTGAGCCAAGCGATATACGCCTCAATGACTGCTGAGAAGTTCTCATCAATCTGATAAGTTCTCACCAAGCTACATCTGAGCATACCTCGAGCATGACCTTTAGGGAGATTATACCACTAATCTCGACAATTGTGATTCTCCTTTATTTCCTATAAAAAATCCCACTATCCCTTTTCTTTAAAAAAAAACATAACATAATGCAACTGTTAGGCGCATCCGAGGTTGCCAACACTTGGGGATTACGTATAACGACCCATGAGTACAAGGTTGTAAAATAAAGGGAAACTAACGATCCCAAACAGAGTGATGATGTTAATTAACTAGAGTTTTCGATGATCGTTCTTTTTTCGTCCACTCGTTCTTTTTCTTTTCTTTCTCGAAATCTAGGTCAAATCCTTTAGGTGTCTTGGTGTTGTTGCCTGCTCTAAGTGTGAAGCCAATCTTTAAATCACCAAACTCCCCCAATAGCTCATAGACTCCCGCGTTCGCGGACACTAGTTTAGCGGAGTCAACAAAAGTTTGTGTATTTTGTAACTCATTAAGAAGTTAATATTTTTTGGCGCAAAACGAAGAGTTTGGTATTAAAATGGTCGTTTTTCTCATCTCAAACTATGTCGTTTTGGGATTTAATGGTTACAATAAACGGTTGTTAACGCTTTTTAAACGGCTGTCAAAGTTGACTATTTTTATAAGTAATTTGGCTGGGTCAACATAAGTTTGTGTATTTTTATGACTTATTAAGAAGTTAGTATTTGTTTTGGCGCATAACGGATAGTTCGTAATTAAAATGACCGTTTTCA